GGGGCGGGGGCTAATAACGTCCATGCGGGCTGGCGCACACTTTGGACGCTACGTTGATGATGCCACGTGTAAGGCCCCAGCCCCCTAGGTCCTAGGTGTTTAGTAGATCTTTAATAGATCAGGTCTTCAATCAATTATGCTCTTGTGTTTGTTCGCTGCTCATTGGGGTTGCTTGGATGACTTTGATATAAGTGAGAGAGGTGTTTTTTTAAGAGAGTTGAATGAAAATGCGAATGAACTGTGCATCCACGCGGCGAAGCCGCATGTGATGCTGCAAGAGTTGGGCGACCACTTCAAGAGGTCCGAATGAGGAGAAAAAAGTAGTTTCTGACATTGCACTTTTCGGCCCCTTTTCGTCGTGCACGCACTTCTATTGGGATACATCACGCAACCACCAATAATACCCAGGCGACCAACAGCGTAGTTCCCTAGTAGTTTCTTGTAAACAAAACAATGACTTTTCAGCTATAGCAAAACAAAGACAGGTTTTCAGACACTCCCAAGTGTCCCTCTGTCCATTCTTGTCGGCATGTTTGTCAATCCTGGAAGGGCCCGGAGAGGCTTTTTTGAAAGTACATATATAGTTATATAATCGATTTTGTTTTGAAGGCCATCGCTACTAGGTTGGCGGCCATCGCTCTTGGCTTGGGGGCCACCGCTTAGGTTGGAGGCCACCGCTACTAGGTTGGAGGCCATCACTCTTAGGTTGGAGGCCATCGCTACTTTATGTTGGAGGCCAAACCTCTTAGGTCAGGGGCCACCGCTACTAGGTTGGAGGCCATCTCTCTTAGGTTGGAGGCCATCGCTACTAGGTGTGAGGCCATATCTCTTAGGTTGGGGGCCACCGCTACTAGGTTGGAGGCCATCTCCCTTAGGTTGGAGGCCATCGCTACTAGGTTGGAGGCCATATATCTCTTAGCTTGGGGGGCCATCGCTACCAGGTTGGAGGCCATATCTCTTAGGTTGGGGTCCACCGCTACTAGGTTGGCGGCCATCGCCCTTAGGCTGGGGTCCACCGCTACTAGGTTGGAGGCCATATCTCTTAGGTTGGAGGCCATCGCTCTTAGGTTGGAGGCCACCGCTATTAGGTTGAAGGCCATCGCTCTTAGGTTGGAGGCCATCGCTCTTAGGTTGGCCATTGCTCTTAGGTTGGAGGCCATCGCTACTAGGTTGGAGGCAATCGCTAGTAGGT